TGGGTGGCTCGGTTGGGAGAGGAGGCTCTGGGGTTGTCCCGTTGGGCACAGGATGTTCTGGAGTTTTCCCGTTGGGTGGCTCGGTTGGGAGAGGAAGCTCTGGGGTTGTCCCGCTGGGCACAGGGTGTTCTGGAGTTTTCCCACTGGGTGGCTCGGTTGGGAGAGGAGGCTCTGGGGTTGTCCTGTTGGGGAGTACACGTAGGAAAAGAAGTTTGAGGTTTGTCTTGTTGGGTAGAAGAGATTCTGGAGTTGTCTTGTTCGGTTGCTCTGGGGGGAGAGGAAACTCGAGGATCGTTTCGTTGGGTGGACGAGGTTCTAGGGTTGTCCCGCTGGGTGACTCTTGAGGGAGAGGACGCTCTGGGGGTGTTCCGCTGTGTAGAAGAGCTCCTGGGGGTGTCCCGTTGGGTGGACGAGGTTCTGGGGTTGTCCCGTTGGGTGATTCTTGGGGGAGAGGAGGCTCGGGGGGTATCGGGTGGTGTGGAAGCAGCCTGGGCAACATCCTTTTGGGCAGAGCAATGGAGAGAGGAAGCCTGGGAGGTGGCACTTCGAGGTCCGCTCTGCGGTGTCGCGGAGGTGGCCTGGTTTAGCGCTGACTGGTGCCGCTCCACGGAGAAGTACCTGCTTTCTCCCCGGAGCTTCGCCCAGTGCTGTCCGGCGCTTCGGCTCCCACCGCCGGTGTCTGGAGAGAGAAGACAGAGGTTCAAGGTAAAGGGAGAGGTCCAGGCAGCTCTCACACCCTACCTTTCTCGTCCCCTGGGACAGATGATTAGGGAAGACCCCAACCCTCTTCTTAGAGGACACACCGTCCATACCAAGTGACTCCACCCCCCCACCCCCACCCCCCGATCACGGCTGATTGGAGGAGGATCCAGGCGCCTCTCTCAAACTGAGGTTGGGAATTTGAAATGAAACCCAGGCTGACTCAGTCAATGGGGGTGCGCTCCACAGCCGGAAGGTCACGTAGTCTGGGGGTTCACAGATAAGTGAGAGAACAAGCAAACTCGTAGAGAGCAGTTTTGACAACAGCCCGTGCGACCCCAGAGAGGGAGAGGTGGATCTGGCAGCAGCCGCCTCACAACTTTCCATTCCCAGTTCTCCCCGCAATTGGATTCCGAGAAATTCCCCCATGTCTTCTCATGAGCCTCTTCCGTGTGTGATAGCTCTGGAAATCTCCCGGTCCTCATACCCACAGGCTCCTCTCAGGGCTGCCACGAGGAAGAGATGGGTGCAGAGATGGGATAGCCTTTTGTGAACGGGCAGCATCCACCTCACCTGGGAGTTTGCTAGAAACACAGAATCTCAGGTCCCACCCTGGCATACTGCATCAAAATCCACATTTTAATAAGCTTCCATGCACATACAGTTTAAGAAGCCCTGGTCTAAGGGATTAAACAGTGACCCCTTCATAACTCCCATCCCCATGAAGGGGCCACCATGATCTTGGTGTCACCCTCCAACCCCCTCAGTCGCTTGGTCACCGAGCATGTGGTGGCTACCAGCTGTTTGCATGTCCCTGGGCAGGCGCTTCAGGAGAGAAGTAAAGGGTATTGTGGCTGGTCTTGAAGGAGCTTCGACTGCCTTTATTAAAAGCCATGCTTAAGATTCCCTCTCCTCTGCCCTCGAAACCTCTGTCTCCTCCCACCTCTCTGAGCTGGCGTCGCTCAAGTCTGCATTTCCAACACCTAACAAAGAACCAGAACTAATCACACAACAGCACTTAAAATTCGCGTTGTTGTTGCCTGATGGACCGATGCCCCATGTTCCAAGTCCGCCTGCTTCTCTCATCCGCCTCTTCCCACCTCTCCGCCCTCATTTCTCACCTGGATAGTTGCCATAGCCCCCAACACACGTGCTCTGGGCCCAAGGTCATTGTTCCATCCAGGGAGATCCTTTCCAAAGGCAAACCTGGTTAGACGGCCCTGCTTACAAGGAGGGACTGAAACCTACCACAGATTGGAGGAGACACGGGACCAAATGCAACCTGGGATCGTGGACCAGAAAAGGGACATTAGTGGAAAAACTAGTGAATCCCAACAGTGTCTGTAGTTTAGTTAATAGCATTGTACTAACGTTAAGGTCTTCATTTGGTAATTGTACTATGGTTATGTAAGACGTTAGCATAGGGGAACCCAGGTGAGGAGTGTAATGGAAATGCTCTGTACTATCTTGGGAACTCTTTCATAAATCTAAAATTATTTCATAAAAGAAGGTTAAAAAAACTTCAGGGGCTCCCAACCATGCTTGGAATAAAATCCAGGGATCTCCTAAGACTGGCAGGCTCTGCCCGCTCCCACGGGCCTCCTAGCTCCATGTGGGTAAGGGCCTCCCCTTCTCGTTTTCCATCGCATCTCCTGGGCTCAGGAAAGTGCTTAACACAGTGTGGGTGTTCGATGATACCGTGCTGCCACCATCCAGCTCCGAGTTCTGCCTCGTCCTGGAGTCTTCCCCGCCCTGTGAGCATGGTGCTGACTGAGATGCTGTTTTCCATCGCTCCCCGTGGCTCGCAGCTGGGTCAGCACCCCCAGCCCTGGTTTCTTCCCTTTCCTGCCCATCTCAAGCCTCCCTTTGAGCCTGGCCCACCCAAGATCCGACCCGACTCCTGCAGCCCCCTCAGTGGGCACACGGTGCAGGCTCTACAGATGTCCCAGGGCACTCGGTGTCCCGTCCCCCAGCCAGCCCGGCTCTGCACAGCCTGCCTCACGGAGTGTGCTTTGCAAGCCGGGAGGTGCCCCGAGAGGGATGTCCAGGAGTTCCTAGCCTCTTGGAGTTAAGGAATCCCTCCCCAGCTGCAGTTTGGTAACCTGCCACCAGGTGGACAGTGGTGACTGCCTTTGATCAAGCGGGTCACATAGTGAGGCTCCCCATCCCACTGCCCCTGTGTTTAAGAGCAAGAAAGCAGGTGTTTAGTACAAAATCCCACCTGCCTATCAGTCCATTCACAACCGGGGAGGCACTGGCTCCCCTCGTGTTATTACTTCCTCCCACACTCATCCCAGAGCCTGATAGGGCAGGCGGTGGGGGCGGGGTGGTGACAAGATCTGATTAATAGTTTTAAAAGATGGCTCCAGCTGCTGGGGATGGCGGTGGACTGAAGGGGGCTGGGCAGAAAAGGGAGATCTTGAGGGGGCGCTGGCAATAATCCCAACAAGGGGCAGCGGTGGCTTGGCAAAGGGGGTAGTGGTACAGATGGGAGGAAGGGGACAGATTTGGGGTGCGTTTTGGAGGCACTGCTGACCAGAACTGCCGATGGTTGGATATAAAGGGTGAGGAAAGAGGAATCACAATAACACGAGATTTGGGGCCTGAGCTGCGGGACAGGTGGTGACAGAACAGACTGCCGGAGATACAGGTTGGGAGGCGGGTCAGGTTACTGATGGTCCCCTACACACACCAGCCTCCTCCCCACCCTCTCCCACGCTCTACATGCTCCCGTCTCCCCGCCTTCCCTCTGCTCCTCGAACCTGCCACCTCTGTCCGCTTCTTAGGGCTTCTGCACTGGCTGTTCCTTCTGCTTCTGAATCAGATCTCAGCTGCAGTGTCGCCTCCCCAGAGAGGCCCGGCCACTCGCCCTCACAGCCTCCTGTCCTAATTTTCCAAAAATCAGTTACCACCCTCCGATCTAGCTTTCATCTGTGTTGTCTGCCTTCCCTCCACTGGATTGCCAGCTCCATTATCTGTCTTGTTCGCTGCGGTTTCTCCAGCATTAGGACAGAGCCGGGCACACAGTAGGTGCTCAAGAAATACTTATCCAATGGGTGAAATAAATAGTGCTGGGTTGAATTTGAGGTGCTATCATACATTCCAGGGGACAGGTCAGCTGTACAGATGGACTAGAGTTCAGGGGAGAAATCAAGGCCAGAGGTGTAGACTCAGGAGTCATCGATTTTTCCAGATAGTACTGAAAGCCGAGCAGCGAGTGTGCAGGGAGAGAACAGAAGGGGGCCCAGGGCTGGGCTCGGGGGCATCTGATATTTGAAGGGTGAGCAAAGGCGAGGGAGAAGGAGTGGCCAGTGAGGACGGCCCTGACCCTTGATGGAGCACTCCCAGTCTCTAACCCTCTTCCTCAGGGCTCTCAGATCCAGCGCGGGCGGCCAGCGCTGCCACATCCCCTCCCCACTCCTCCGCTGCCAGCGAAAGGCACTGCCGTCCACGCAGACACCGAGGCCAGAAGCTGGGACTGCGTATCCCCCTGTCCCTAGTCCCATCAAGTCCACCTCCTAAATCTCTCCTTCTCTGTCCCCTCCTCATCCCATAACCATGGCCCGAATTCAGGTTTCTCCATCTCTCACCTGGACAATTGCAACGGGCCACAGAAGGTCGCAAGAATGGTGCATCGATCCCCGTGTAGTTATCCTTCACCCAGAGGCACCGGCTGTTAACAGTTTGCCTCACTGCTTTATCCACCTACCTACCTACCTACCTACCTGTCTATCATCTCTCTGTCTCTCTACAGCTGCCTATCATCTCTGGATCTTGTTGAGCCATGCGAGAGTTAAAGACATCAGGACCCTCCACCCCATCCCTCTCCTGGCGCATCTCCTAAGAGCAAGGACAGTGTTCCTCCGTTATCACACTCAGGAACCAGCATGGATACAGTGCTGCTCTCTACACGGTCCGTATTCAGACTGCCCGGCTGTCCCAGTAACATCTCTTATGGCTATGTCTTTTCCTATCCTGGATCCAACCAGGATCACACATGGCATTTCACTTCCCTGTCTCTGTAGCCTCTTTTACTCGAGAACAGCTCCCCAGCGCTTTTTTGTCTTTCATGTCAGTTACCCTGCAGAATGTCCCTCAATGTAGGTTTGTCGGATGTTCTGTGGGGATTAGACGCCGGCGATGCATTTTGAGCAGGAAGCGCATGACTGGGGGCACCTGAGGCTGGTCTGCCCCACGCTGGGATGCTGAGCGGCCACTAGGTTGAGGTGGTGTCTGCCAGATCTTCCCACCCTCAGGGTGCCTTTTCCCTCTGTAATCCATGTGTAATTTGACAGGTGACACTTTGAGACTGTGTGACTATCCTGTTCCCCGACAACCTTTCACCCAAGAATTTAGCATCAGCTGGTGATTCGCGCCCAAACTGTGATCACTACAGTGGCTACAACAATCTGTCTACTGGTTTCTCACCCCTCAGCCTCGCCCTGCTCCAATTCTTCCTTCCCACCTTTGCCCTGGTGAACTTGCTAAGGCACAGGTCCAATTACATCACTCTCCTCCTCAAAAACCTTCTGTGGCTCCCTACTACTTAGAGAAGAAAGTCCAAACTCCTTGGCTAGACTGTTGAGGCCCAGCATGGTCTGGCCCAACCGTCCACTCCCATCTTTGCTCAAGCTGTACATATCAGGATACCCCCAGCTCACACCTCCAAACGTCTGCCTGGCTGTTTCCTCCGCCAGAGCGCCATGTCCAGAAGGCACTCCTCTGTGAGTCCTTCCCAGGCCGGAACGAAGCTCTTTCTCCTCTGCCCCTGTCCCCCACCCAGCCCTGCGCTCACAGCACAGCACATCGTCTCTGTCCTGGGCTGTTGCTCGTCATCTCCCATCTGGCTGCTGTACTAGATGATGTGCTTTCTGGGCAGGGACCAGGTCTACCTGCTCCTGAACACCCAAGTGTCTAGCACCAGGTTTTACACACAGTTAGTACTCCCATGTTTGATGACTGAATGCTACAGGAGCCATGGGAAGCCAGGACTGCCCGCCGGGGTTAGGACATGGACGGCCTAGCTCCACATCTCCAAATCCTGACGATGCTGAAGACACAGACCAGGAGGCAACACAGTTCAGCAGGGATGGAGGGCCCACACTTTGGCCTAGGCCACTCGGCTCACACACCAGCAAGATGCTGACCAGTGTCATGGGCGTCTGTGGGCTTGGCCCCATCAGCAGCCTTTTCCATTTCTCTGGGAACAACATCACTCCGATTTCCTTTGGGCAATCTCCTCTCCCCCACCCTCAGGCCATGAGGTTTGCACAGGGGGCTGATCCCAGCCCTGATCACCAGGTTGGACACATGATTCACGCTGGGTCCTAGAGAGAACCCTTTCTGGGACTTTAGCTACATCTATTGGGAAGATTGAGCCCTCTTGCTTGGGAGTTGATAAGCAGGTAGGACACAGCCTGGCACTGCTGCTGCTCAACATGCCACTATTGGGGGAGGGTTTGCCTGAGAAGGAAGCCAACACAGAGGAAGGCAGAGCAGAAACCAGATGTCTGATGCTGCTTGAACACCTGGATCCAGCCATACCTAAAATCACATCTCCCTAGACTTTTTACTAAGCTAATTTCTGTCACTTGTAACCTGAAGACCCTAACCCACTAATGGTGAGATGATGTATTTAAAGCAGGTGGCATGGCACATCATGGCTGCTCCATAATTATATAGGAACTGTTACTATTACTCAGACTTGACCCACCAAAGATGTGCCTAGGGGCCCAGATGGCCAGTGAGATGGCTATCTGGGCTCCAGGCCCCTGGCCATCACCACACCCGTGGTCACAGAGACCAACCTGGCCTGGCAGAAGGACTCACCCTCCTTTCTCTGGCCTGCAGCGTCTCCTCCCACAGGGGACCGGGTGAGGACCGAGGGAACCCGTCGGGCACTGTCAGCTCTTGGCCCCTCCTGCGGCTTCCGCGGGATCATCACGGTGAGCTCGTCCCTGCTGGGGGCCTCCTCCCGCCTCTTGACAGGGTCCCAGTCCTGCCAGGGAAGGGGAGAAAGCGTGCTTGGAGGGTAAGAAGTGAGACCCCAGGGCCTGCGCTCCCAGCAGGAGATGGGCAGAAGGCAGGGAGAGGAACCCACGTTGAAAGAGCGCCTGCCGTGTGCCCGGCACTGGGCTCCGCAGGTGTTAATGCAGCTGATCTCCAATCGACCCCGTGAGGCGGGCGTGTCGCTGGAGCTGAGGACGTGCCCGAAGTCACACGGCTGGAACTGGTTTACATGGGAGGGGACCTGAACCCAGGGTAGTCGGACTTCATGTGGCAGGAGGGCCCTGGCATGGCAGCCCCCACCCCAGAGACACCCCCAGGCTCCAGGAAGTGGGTTCAAAGCCTCGCCCCACCACTGCCCAGATGTGTGGCCTCAAATAAGATTCTTTCCTTCTCTGAGCCTCAAATGAGATCCATTGCCCCAAAATGGGATCATAGAAGTCTCTACCTCAGAGGGGGGTGGTGAGCCTTCCTGAGCCCCTACCGACCATCCCATCACTTCCCCCTGGGGGTCCCAGGGATGGCCTGCCTCTTCTTTAGGGGTGACGGCCCTTTAGGGGTGAATGCTCCTGGAAGTTCCCCTAAGTATCCTCTTGTCCTGGCTAAACGGCCCTCAGCCCCTGCCAGGTGCCCCAGCCTGCTCCCTCTCCCCTGTCCCTTGGAGATCTCTGCCGGGGCTGGTCATGGGGCTCAGCAGTGTGTGACCAGGGCCAGTCCCCCTTCTTGCCCTGGACACCACCCCACATCCCAGCCGTCTGTGACCTGAGAGTTTGGGGCAGCCTAAGCCCACCGGTGATTCCCCCGGAGCTCCCTGTCAGCTGAAACTCCTTCCTCCATCTTTTTACAGCCAGACCGCCCCCCCACCCCCGCCCTCCTGGGCCCGCCCTGCAGAGACCCCGCCCCTTCCAGGGGGGATTGGTCCAGTCGGCCTGAGGTGCTGGGTAAGTCTCCAGAGGACCTTGACCCCGTTCTGGTGTGAGAGGCTCAGACTTGTCTGCAATTTGGCCAGCACCCCAGGGCTGGCACGGAGAGGGGATCTGCTCTTGCCCCCGGCCTCCTCCTCAGCTCACCGTGGAGGACGGGTTGCTGGTCTCATCAGGGGCGCCGCAGTCAGCGCTGGAGCTGGTGCCAGAGTCAGGGCCCTCGTCGAAGCTGCCACACAGGGAGGAGGCCAGGCCCTCCAGATAGGGCACTGCCTCTGGTTCCCGGCTCCCGTTCTGGGGGGCGGCGGTGGGGCCCTCTGCAGGGAGACCTGCAGGGCACCTGGGAGAGGAAACAGACCCATGACTTTTTCCCCCAGAATAATGGGAATTAAGGAGTAACACCCGCACCTCCCCCCAGGCACACACACCTCACACAGGGGCCAGGAATCTGCACCTTAGAGTAGAAGGGGGCTCTTTACATGGGCTGCCTCATTTACCCACAAAAGCCTCCCTTTGAGTGTAAAGATTCTCACTTTACAGATAAAGAAACTGAGGCTCAGAGAGGTCAGGGGACTGGCCAAAGTTGCAGAGCTAAGAAAGGACAGAGCTGTGTTGTGAACTAGGGCTGTGGCCCCAGCCCCAACGCTCTGTCATGGAGCCGGAGTGGGGACCCCAAGCTTAATACAACTAAGAATACAGAATCATGCTGGTCTAATGGGGGGCTTTGAGAGGTAGCAGGGCTCCGGGGCAGTGACAGGCCACCAGCCTGGATCCCAAGGGAGGGAGCTGCAGAGAAATCCCTGCTTAAGAGAAGCCATTCAGGTCAAGTAGACTTAGGCTCAAGTAGACTTAGAGGTGGCAATATCCCCAGAGAGTGACCTATAAGATGGAAATGGGTGATGACCCTGAAAAAGAGGTCTGTGGTCAGATAAGTTTGGGACACACTACACATCTCTCCTACCTCCCCCACCCAGAAGCATAATGCATGCTAGCAACCTAAAGGCTCTGACAAGTCCTGCAAGAAAGATACGGTGTTCAACTTTGTTTATTCCAGACTTTCTGAAACATATTTGATGGCACAGCTGTTGTTGTTGTTTTTTAATAACGCCTACCTGTGAGGAACACATGTTTCCAAAGCAATGCTGATTTGATTCAATCCCTCTTATTTTTTAAACAGGGAAACTGAGGTACAAAAAGAGGGAATATCCCATAGCATCAGGGATGGAGCTGAAGCTAGAACTCAGGTTTCTAGACCCTTAGTCATTCCCTCCCAAGGCACCAGGGCCCAAAGGTGGACTTCAGTTCAGCTCGGGCCTGGGGGTGGAGGGAATCCCAGAACCCAGAGCAGTGCACGGTCAGGTGGGTGGGTGACACCAAGTGCCCCTGGGAGCCGAGACTGTGGAATCTTTTCAAGCACTGCGAAAGGAACCAGGAAAGGTGGGCGGGCTGTGGGCCATGCCCACTGCAGGGCGGGTGCATGCCTCTCCACACCCTGGAGCGAAGCTGAGCGAAGACCCGAGGAAGATGCCCACCGCCTGCCCGTGCCCAGGCCGTGTGGACTGACCACATGACCCAGGATAGCAGCCATCGGACAGATGCTGCCATCGTGAAGGGGTGTGGGGTGGGCTGGGTCAGGGCATCCTCCCCCCGGAAGCCCCTCCCCAGGCCCCGGGGCTCTACCCACCTCTCCGGCCCCGGCCCAAGGCCCGGGCCCACCACGGACTGGCAGCCGACGGTCGAGGCACCGAGCAGGTCCTCAGAGGCAGGTGGGCGGCGGGGCAGGTCGCAGTAGGGCACCTCAGCACTTACAGGGCTCCCGGGCTCCTGGGACAGAGTGCAGAGAGGAGGCAGCTGATCGCCCACGTGGGGGCTCCCCTCCCCCTTCACAGCCCCTCCCCACACCAGGGGTGTGAGTGAGACTCCAGGCTCTCCTCCTGGGATCCCACACTGCTCAAGGAGAGCTGTCCATCACACTGGAAGCGCCCCTTGGGACCCAAGCTGGGGGCTGGCAGAGGTACAGAGTGTACCTGCACACACATGTGTACAGGTATGTGCATAAAGGCCTGTGTGTGCGCATGTGTGCACAGCATGTATGTGTGTGCAAGCCCAATGGGTGCACTGATGCATATGCTCACATAAGTCCCTGTCAGTTTATTTACATGTGTGTGCTGGCACATATGTATGTGTGTGTGCCTGAGGCTGGGAAGTGCACAAAAGCACCAGAAGGGTCTTCAGCAGCCTGAAGACCAGGATGAGGGGGGTGGGGAGGTGGGAGGATTAAGGCGCCTAGAGAGTGAAGGAGAAGGTCTGAGGGAGAAAGAGGTAGTCTGAGGGAGGAGGAGATGGGAAAATAAGACTGTGGAGGAAAGGAGAGATGTGCCCTACTATAGGAGGGCCGGGGGGCTCCAGGGCCGGAGGGTCAAGGCCCTAGGGGTGGGGGCGGGGGCCCTGAGCCGGCTGTGGCTTCTCAGTCCCTCCTGCCCTGAGCAAGGCCACACCTGTGCAGGCTGGCGCCGGGCTCACCCAGGGGGAACAGCTGCTGGCCTCCGGGAAGGCCCCCCCAGGCCCCCCTCCCGGGCAGCAGGGCCCTCCCCCGGCGGTGGGAGGCAGCGGCCGCGCACCCCGCACCCGCCTCCTCTCGGGTTACCTGCGCGGCGGCTCCGGCGGTGGCGGGCGGCCGGCGGCTGTCAGCACCCTCGGGCCCGGGGGGCTCCGGCTCAGGCCCCCACGCTGCCGCCCTCCCAGGCCCGACTCCGGGCGGTGGCGGCGGCGGCCGAGGAGCGGAAACCTTAGAGGGCTGGCGCGGGAGCAGGGGCCCCTCATTACTGTTTCATGAGCGGGGCCCAGCCAAGAACAATGCAGGACACCAAGCCGCAGGAACCTGATCCCCGCCGCTCACCTGAGAGCCACCGGCCGGGGCCTGGGCATGCTCCCTGGGGACCCTGGAGCCCAGAGCCCAGGGCTGAGGCCACGCCCCGGGGGGGCACAGACTTTCCGGGTTCCAAGAAGTCCGCCACTAGCAGGACCCGAGCAGGGCCGAGGAGTGGGGCCGCGGTGTCTGCTGCGCCATCCAAGCCGGAGGAGGCCCGCCTGGGTTCGGTTTCGCCCCCGGCCCCGGAGCCAGATTCTGATCAGAGCTCGGCAGCGGGAGGTGTCAGATCCGCAGCCAGGCCTGGCGCCTTGGCCGCCCTGGGGACCTCGCCGCATGACTGAGGAGCGAGCCGCTCACCGGGCATCACCAAGGGGTCCCTGCCGGGCTGGGCCCAGCAGGACCCCCACTGTGTCATGGCACCTCCCCGCTGCTTCACCCCCAGCCCCCGTCACTACCCACCAGCGCATGAGCAGGCCCAGCAGCCAGTCACCGGCTCTGATTTCCTGTCTGGCGGGTCAGCACCGGCCCTGGCCCTAGACAGACATCAGGCCCAATCCTGGCACCTCCACTTCCCAGCTGAGTGACCTCAGCCCGGTGGCTTCCCTCTCTGAGCCTAGTTTTCTCATCTACAAAACTGGGAAGATAAAAGAGGACCCATCTCCGAGGGGTGTTAGGAGAATTAAATGAGTTAATATTTGTAAAGGGCTTAGAACAGTGCCTGGTCCGTACATCTTAAATTTAATAAATAACATAAAAGCATTAAATAGAATTTTATTAGTGTTAAATCAATAGAATGTTAAATACACTTAAGAATAAATACATTGAAAAGGGATGTGGGTGCCTGGCATACAGCAGGACCCTCCCACCCAGCCTTCCTCCCTCCCTCCAGAATTTGACCATGACCTGGTCAAGGCTGTGTGATTTCCAGGGATACCACCCCCCACCCCCACCCCCACCTGCCAGCCTGTGGGAGACTCAGCTGAGAGCAGAGCAGAGAAGCATCCAGAAACTAGGATCCTAGGGGAGCTAGAGCCAGCTTCCTGGAAAGGATTGCCCTGGGACCTGGGGCCTGGGGCCATTTCTGCATATTCTAGGTAGCTGAAGATGTCAGAACTGGCTCCAGCCCCAGAAGACACTTTTATCAGGCCCGCACGGATGAGTTTGCACCCAGGTGTCATTAGGGATCCAGCTGGTAGCTGCACAGCTCCATCAAGGCTGGGGATGCTTTTTTAACACACAAATTTTGTGACTGCACATGTTTGAAACTGCTCATCCGTGAGCAAGACTTTCATCAGCACCAGATCCTCATGACCGGAGAGCCTCTATCCCCTGCTGAGGTCTGCAGTCAGTAAACTCCTCTGGTCACCCAGATTCGCTCTCCCTCCCTGCACTCCATTCTCTGCCCGCAGTCAAAGTGACTTTGGAAAATGCAAATCTGGTCACATCACTCCCCTGTTTAAAATCTTCAGTGGGACCCATGCCTCTCAGGAAAAAGTCCAAAGTCCTCAGCATGGCCGCAAGGCCCAGCGAGACCCAGCCCCCACCCCATTCTCCATCCTTGTCCCCGAGTTCCTCTGCCCCTCCCTCTCACTGGCCTCTCTCCATCCTCCTTTCTGCCTCAGGACCTTTGCACATACTGTTCTCTTCCCCTCTTCTTGCCCCAACTTCCCTGGCCAATGCTCCCACAGCCTTTACCAAGCAGCTGAAATGTCATTTCCTTGGAGAAACGTCCCCTGATGCCCTATCATTTACCCTCATGCTGCTTGCTGTTCCATTACAACATTTATCACAACCATGATTCAATATTTCTTTGCCTGATCACTTTCTTAGTCTCCATTTCTCTTGCCAGACCACAAGCCCCATGAACCAGGGACTGTGTCTGTTTTATTTATCACTATTTCCCCGACATCTAGCATAATGCCTGGCACATTTTAAGCACCTATTCAATATTTGTGAACACAGCGGGTAAGTAGTGGGACGGCGACAGGAACTCAGACTGTCTGCACCCAAGTTTCTCCCGCTGTTCCACGCTTGCCATCTCCCCACCCACTGGGAGGAGGCCATTTGCACGGGAGATGGCCTCTCCAGGCTTTCAGCCAGCTGTGCCCTGAACTTGGCATGAGGGTAAGTGAGCTGTTATTGGAGGCATCAGGACAGGTAGGAAAGCATCTCCAGCGTTTACTTTTCTGGTTGGGAAGGAGGGAGAGGAAGCTAACGTGTATTGAATCAGCCACACGTGACTTGGGCTGAGCAGTGCCAGATGCCCTGAGTGAGAAGAAGCCTTGTTGCCCCACTTTACCCATTAGGAGAATGAAGCCAGCGAGGTCTAATGACCCTAGGTCACACAGCATGTCAGTGCCAAACCCGGGACTGGAACTCCCGCCTGCCTGGCTCCAAAGCTGAACAGCGACTCCCTTACGATGGCCACCTGTCTGAGCCTAGTGCCCTGCGTGCAGCTGGCTGCTGGGCTCAAGAGGAGCCTCAGGACCCTCTGGGAATTATGGAGCCATAGGGGTCGAGGCTGGAAGGGCCCGTGGAGATTCACGGTCCCGTGCTTCTCACAGCATGTGTACCAGGCGCTCTGGGTTTACGTGTACTGGCGCTTGGCCTAAGACCACCTCGATCACAAAATGAGGATCTCCTCCCCTTCCATACCCTCCAGGAGAAAGTCTCCAGTTGGTACTGGGGGATTTTTTTTTTTTTTAAGCTTAGCCCTGAGCTAACATCCATTGCCAATCCTCCTCTTTTTGCTGAGGAAGACTGGCCCTGGGCTAACATCCGTGCCCATCTTCCTCTACTTTATATGTGGGACACTGCCACAGCATAGCCTGATATGTGGTGCATAGGTCCGCCCCCAGAATCCGAACCTGTGAACCCCGGGCGACTGAAGCGGAGCACGTGAACTTAACCACTAAGCCACCAGGCCGGCCCCCTGTTGTTGTTTCTTTTTAACCTTCTATCTAAAGGATATGATCCTAGTCTTCTATTTGTGGCGGTAAAGTTTTGGTTCAGTATAAGTAAGAAAAGGGTACTGATTTAAAGAGCAAAAAGGTAAGAGATCACATGAGGTTACAACAACAAAATCATAAAAGCAGGAGAATGACTGGCACTTGGAAACGTTAACATGGTCCCACCACCTCATTGTACAGATGGAAAACTGCGGCTCTGCCCAGGAGGAAGGCCAGTGTCTGCGTTCAAGTGCAAGATAGTGGCCCAGCCAGGCCCCAGTCCGCATGGACTCCCCCATCCCTAACCACGCTGACCATGCAGGAAAGCCGGCCCACCTGGTGCCTTGCTCTGTGGGCCTCCTCAGGGTGGAAGCAGTTTTGACAGCAGCTCTGGGCAAGCACATTGGCCTCAAAGTGTTCACAGGGGGCTTTCCCAGCCACCTCCTCCATATTGGCTGAGTGAGGCCAGGGCAGCTCCTGCGATCCGTGGCAGGGCCTGGGAAGAACGGGGGAGGCAAGGACCAGGTGACTGGCTGGAAGCCAACCTGGACCCCAGCCCCAGCTTGCCCCTAGACAAAGACCAAGGAAACAAGGTTATCCATCCATTCATTCATCTGTTCATTTACTCACTCAACAAACACTCATTAAGCACCTACTTAGCACTAGGCCCTCTGCCAAGTATTTGACAAGTGATTTCTAGTCATTGTAGTGTTTCTCACAGTGTGTTCCGAGGACCCTGCATGAGACTCAGCTGAGCTGTTCATAAAATGCATATTCCCAGTTCCCTCTCTAGATCCACCCAATTAGAATCTCTAGAGGTGAGGCCTGGGGGTGTGCATTTTAAAGTCCCCCTAGGTGATTCAATGCACCCCAAAGTCTGAGTCCCCTTGCCTTACAGTTTTCCTGCATTGGAGATAAAATTAATGCCAATTTCAGATGAGGCACCTAAGGCTCACAGAAGTTCCAGAACTTGCTCCAGGTCCCAATGGCTGAACTGGATTCACACCCAGATCTGTGTGCCTCCCAACCCTCTCAGAGGTGAAGGTGAGGGGCACTGGGTCACTCTGCCAACTCACACAGGTCCCTCAGGAAACACTGGGAGTGAGGCAAAAGGCTGGCTAGGTATTTTCAGAGCCCAGGACACAGTCATGGAGGAAAGTGAACAACCTAAGGTCACACAGCAAGTTTGCAGCACAGCTGAGCCCAAGAGAAACCCTGGTGTCTGACTTGAGCACAGAGCTCTCCATTCTGGGCACCACTGAGGGCTCCCACACCATGCCCTGGGGGAAAGCCCGGACAGAGGAGTGACATGAGGATGCCCTCTTCACCTACATAGAGCCCCAGGAGGTGGGTGGGGGTGGGAGGAATCCACATCCCAAAACTCACATTCATTTTACCGTGTACCCAGCTCACCTGCGCATACCTGTCCTCACCTGATGAGTTTCTTCCAAAGAGTCCCGGGGGGATCAGGCCTTTGCTGCCAGTCTGGGCTGAGGGCTAGGGAATCTCAAGTCCTCCCCTGGGGCAGCAGGGCGAGGGTTCCCGGCTCCTCCACCATCAGACCTGGGGAGGCGGCAGGGCACGGTGTGTGTTGGGGAGGGGGCGGGGGCGCACCTACTGGACCCTCAGCGGCCCCGGGGTCTCCGAGCTCCCCTGGGCCGTCGTCTCCTCGCGTCGTTCCCTGCTTCCCGGGGAGGGGCGCGCATCCCTTCCGCCCAGCCCGGGCGGTTCTTTCCAGGTCTGGCCACATAAAGGAGCCTCGCCTCGGAGGGAGAACGCTGCTTGTTTCCCCGGGGGCGGGTTTGGGGGGCTCTGTTCCACGTGCCCCTTACTGCTCCCACTTCCTCCTCCCCAACGGGCAAATCCTTCTCTCACATGCACTTCAGGTGTGGACATGGCGGTGACAAACCAGCGGACACGCATGCCCCGCCCGGAGAAAGGACCTCTGGACCTCTCTCCACCGAGCGCGTCAGCCAGTCCCTGCCCGTATCCTTCGCCCCTCCACCAGTCCTCCCTAACGTCCCCCCGCTTTCCGGTACCCGGTACTAACCTCGGCTCGGGTTTCCACGCACAGCGGGGCTGGGTTGCGGTGCCGGGGTCACAGCCTTTTTATTTTAACAATGAATCAGAACCTCGCCCGGGAGGAGGACGAAGACCACGCCCCTGCCGCTCCCGCATAGGCTCGCTCCAGTGCTTCATTTACATGAAGACTGTGTGATTGGACAACACGAGGCCAGGGGGCGGGGCGGAGGCGGGCGGCGCCCAGATGCCTCCGAGCGCGGGACCTGCCGCACGTTTAGCCTGAGCGGCTGGGTCAGGGTCCCCAGGGGCTGGAGAGGGCTGGCACTGGGATCTGGCTCCCTCTGATCTCTTTCCCGTTTGTTCATTCCCGCCACAGTCCCCTAGGCTGGCTTTAGTCCAGACCTTGGGCTAGAGACTTAACCTCTTTGTGCCTCGATATTCTTATCTGTAAAATGGGGAGAGTAATAGTAACTACCTGTGAGGATGAAATGAAATGCCCCGGGGGTTTTCAACCTCCATTTGCACACTTCCACTGATGTGGAGCTCACTGACAAAATGCACAGCTCTCCCCTTTTTTTAACTGCCCCCCTTTTTAAGCTAACATTTACTCTGCACTGTCTATGTGCCAGCTCCTATTCCAGAATCTTTACATTCATGAGGACATAGTAACCTGAAGGATTAAGTACCAAGATGCTCATTTCAGAGCAACTGAGGATCAGAGAAATTAACTCACCAGTGTCACACAGCTAGCAAGTGGCAGAGCCAAGACTAAAACCTTGGTGTGTCTGACTCCACCAGCCACTACCGAGCATCTTCATTCACTAATACACTCAGACATTCATATGTATCTGGTATATGTCAGGCCTGCGCTGGGCACTGGGAGATGGTAACATGAATAAAATGTGGCTGCTTCTGAGATGAGGATCCTGTTGACCAGTAGGAGAGACAGCCCCAGAACAGATTATCCCAGCCCAGGACGGAACGGGTGAAAACACAGCTTCGTAACAAGGATAACGAACTTTCTGCTCAGTCCCAATTACTGTAAACAAAACAGGGAGTAGCGAGACTCATGTTCAATATCTGGCTCTAGCACTTCTTGGCTGTGTGGTCTTCAGAAAGTTTCTTGACTTCTCTGAGCCTGGGGTGGGTTGGGTACTTGGTTTGAGTTTGAAGATCAGGGTATGGCCCCAACCCTCTAGCCCCCACCAATCAATAAAACCTGGAACCAACTCAGGGTGACACTTCTGACAATTCATTAAATTCAATTCATTAATCATTTACGGAGCCTTTACTTTGTCAGTTGTGTGTGCTGAGGGTCCATCGGTGAACAAAAGATTGAATCTCCTGCGTTCGTGGGGCTTACATTCTAGTGGAGACAAACAGACCCCAAACAAGATAAATAAGCAACATATGGAGCATGCTGGCTGGTGACAGGTGCTAAGGAGAAAAACGAAGCAGGGAAGGGGGTCGGAGGGCATTACATTTTAAATGAGGTGGAGGGAAGGCCTCGCTGAGATGGCTACACCTGAACCAAGACCTGGAGAAGAGGGAGTGAGCCTGCAGGTCCTGGGGAAGAGCGTTTCTGCTGAGGGAACAGAAGCAGGGAGGCTGGAGTGGGACGAGGAGGGAGAGGAGGACGAGTCCAGGGGCCCGATTGATGGGTCGTTTCGGGCGCTCTCCCCAGCTCTGGAGCCGCCTGGCTGGGCCCCTGGAGGGCAGGGGAGGACGGCGGGCAGGTGGGCAGCAGCCATGGTCCTGAAGGAGAGATGATTGGAAGGAGGCAGGACGAGGGGGCCAAGGAGCCAAGGGTGGTCGGAAGGAGTGAAGGGGACTGTTGGAGGAAGCCCCCCTCTTGTGGGGGGACAGTGGCCATGAGGGTGGTTGAGACCCGAGGAAGGGCCTTTAGTAATCTAGAGAATAACTGTCCTTCCTTTTCCCAAGAGGGTGAAGCTGCCCTCCTCACACACCCAGTGTTTCTCCCAACACCGTCCCTGTGATGGGAAGGGCAGCCATCATCATCCCCATTTTGTAGAAGTGAAACTCAAGACTCAAGCAAATTTCCCAAAGCCACTCAGTTACTCGAGGACAGAGCCTGGTTTAAAAATCACCCTCCCAGAGTTCTGCGGGACGGCTCAGACGGCTCAGGGCCAAGGGCGTAACGGTGGCAGCCAGGGCAGTGTCACCATGTGTCACCATTTAGTCTCAGCCTCACATCCCCCTTTCTGCTCCCTGAAGAGTCTGTGCCTGCCTATCTCCACCTCTGCTCATGCCGTTCCCTGTGGCTGCGACACCACTCTTCAGAGATCAGGGAAGCGGAATGATTACTGACAGTTTCAGCCGCACTCTGCCCCTCGGAGCCTCAGTTTCCTGCAGTCACGTGGGAATGGTCATCCCAGCCCTTCCTGCCCACAGGCCTGCGGGAGAATCATGTGCTCTGGGCAGGCACGGCAGAGATGCGGGGGCTGTGATCCAGCGGAGCGGGGCAGGAAGGCATGAGTCTCTAAAGGGGTCTTCAGGGCTGGCTCCAGCCCACAGCCACCCTGTGAAGTGGCGATCCAAGGTGGCCAGGCTTGCTTTTACTAGAGAAGCCAGAAATATGAACTTTTATATGAAATCTCAACATTTTAGAATATGGCTAAGTCAAATTGTTTTTAAACACTCTGTGAGTCAAACCAAACTAATCTTCATTCTATGCAGTGTCTCTGAAATGGTAAATTGCAGATAGATTTTCATTCCCTTAGTGATGACTTAAACGCCACCCCCTCCAGGAAGCCCCTCCTGGCTTCCCCAGCCTGAAGCAAGGGCTCACTTTGCTGCGCTCCTGTGCAGGGCTCCCATTGCTCCTGGCTGTCGTTCACTTTACGGACCACGTGTGTGCGCCCCCTGGAGGAAAGATCCTGGATCTCCACCTCCATTTCTTTGGTTTGTTCAGCCAGTCTAGCAGTGTTAACGTATGTATCTAAGGTGTGGCTCGTTTCCTTGGGGAAGAACATCTACCTTCTGGATCCTTCCCTGGGGATGTGCATGTGCCCAGCCAGAGGCCACTCACAACTTAAATTCTGGCTCCAACTGGGAGGCAGTGAGTAGTTAGAACTCAGCTAAGACAGTGTCCTGGCCAACGGGGGCCCACCCCAGTGTGTCACCTGCAAAATGGGCTTAATGGAATTGCCTACTTTGTGGGGTTACTGGGAGAACTCGGTGAGTTAAAGCATGTAACGAGTGATTGGTATACAGTACGTGCTCAACAAATGTTACTATTATTATTTCTCCTCCAGTCTTCTCTCTGTCCCCACAGCTTTGGCCCATGAAATATAAGTCCCCAAGGGCAGGGACCACCCTTGCTCACCAGCGTTATCCCTGGTGCCTGGGACTTTGCAGGGGCTCAGTCAATGCTTGGTGAGAGAGTGAGAGGGTGCCCGCACGAGAGGAGGGTCTCCCTGCCTCTCCTCTGGGAAACT